ACCTACCACTCCCTCCCTTCCTCCCCTCCCTCCTCCCCTCCCTCCTCCCCTCCCTCCTCCCCTCGAACCTACCATCCCTCCCTCCAGGGAGGTCAGCAGGGAGGGAAGGGGAGGAGGGAGGAGAGAAGGGAGGGGAGGAAGGACTCTCATGTCTGTGCTCCTTCTCTCCATCCAAGAGGAGTCAGCTGACGACTTCTAATCTTGCTGACCCGACTTGTTCATTACACATGATCCGTGCGTTCCTGATGAGCTTCTCCTTTCCTTCTCGTGTCTGCATGTACACGCAACTCAATGAGCAGTTTGCCATGTCATGTCTTGTTGCATATGATAAGATCAGCTCGCCAGCGAGTGGGTGCAGTCGTCTTCTTCCAGTTTTGCTTTTGGTTGATATCCTCACGATTATCTTCTCACGTGGACATCAGCTTGTTGGCGTGCAGGATGGACTTTCTACAACAGCCTGGGGAAGCTCCACAGAAGCAGCGAGCATGCTTGGTATGCTGTGCAGGAGACCCTGATGCGAGAGGGACTCAAAGATTCACAGAGATGCAAGGAGGCAAGGGTGAAATGCGACAGAGAAAGGTGATGTATGTCAGGTTGAGCAAGCTTCTGACGGGCTTCACTGCAGGCCATGCTCGCGATGCAGGAGGCAGGACATGGTGATAAGACCTTGCGAGGCATCTTGCATCTGACTGTCTGAAGGTGGACAAGTGCTTGTATGAGGAGTCCCAGGTTACATCGTTGAGAGCTGACAAGCTCTGTGAGGGACTTGAGTGTTGACTGCTCGGCAGCTTGCCCTGGTGCGATCGCTAGGTCCCGTTGGTGGGAGGCAGCTGGGGTGCCGCGATATCTTGTCCCCATTGCGAACAGAGCCTTTGAGTTCAAAAAGCCCCTTCTCCTCAAAGAGATCGAAATGCTCCAAGGTGCGTCGCTGCCCGACTGGGAGGGTGATAGGGCTGAGGCCAGGGACAGGCTTGCTCGGTCTGCCAGAAGAGCAAGGCCAAGTGTGAGGCCGACAGGCCGTGCAGGTGCGATGGACGGGACAGCACGAGCTGCAGTCCCCTGAAGTGTCTGCAGGAGATGTATCCTTCAGGGGTGCGGAGATCAGTGCTATCAGGTGGGATGGAGAGAGTCGCTGGTCCAGGCTCCTGCTGATGAGCAGTGCGCGCTCCAGGAGTACCAGGAGAGTTTGGGGAAGGAGGAAGCGAAAGGTTTGAATGTGGGGAGGCGGCCGAGCTCCAGGGAGGCAGGAGGGGAGTACATGGTGCAGCTTTACGACGGCGAGAGCAGTCCGGACGACGACTTCTTCAACATGGAGCAGCTGTTCTACTGCCCTGACCCCGTCATGAACTACTGGATTAGCAACGTCGACCGTCCGCTCAGGTGCGTCTGGTTGCTCGTGCCTGGGGCTGTGGAGTGAGCCATCTCGCCTCGTGTGCTGCAGCTACCTGCAGAGATACGCCTGCATCTCCCAGGCGACTTTCCCGACTTTCGATCAAGCAACCCGGTTGGCTCCTCTGCTCCTGCATGTCGCTCGGGGTGACGTCTGGGCCGCAGCTCGTCGTGGTTCTTCGGGATCGTCCGCATGTACTGGGTCGGTGACGCAGCATGTGGATGTCCGGAAGGCTGACGAGGGACTGCAGGAGAACGGGACGAACATCACAAGGCTGAAGAACGTACCTCCTCACACTCACACTCACACTCATCCTCGACATACTGATGGTCCTTGTCGTCCTGCTTCCCCTACCTCCTGCCTATTACTTCGTGACTCCACACGTCGCCTCCACTTGGTCGATACCTGACATGGTCTGTTAGATGCTTGCAAGCATCCCCACTTACCTGCAGGAAGAGCTCATGACGGGCTTCGCTGCTGGTAGAAGAGTGTGCTGTGCTGTCAAGAGACTCACACGTCATGAACAGTCCAAGACATCAACATCCAGCGGATGAAGGTGCTTGTTTGTCTTGATCCTGCGGACTTGCCAACACGTTCTCTGCAATCTCTGAAGGCCGTCAAGACGTCGCCCGATCATCTCAACTCAAATCCGTGAGGACGGGGGGAGGGAGGAGGACGGTCAGCGCCTGCTCACAGCGACCTGCAGATGCATGGATGAGGAATTCGATCGTTTCCTCATGGAAACATGGGACAAGTAAGAAACGCTGAGCAGGCTCGGAGCTTGACGCTGCAGCAGCGATACCGAGCAAGGTACCTTGTGCCACACCTACTGCCCAGAGACTGGGAGACTTCAGTAAGGCAAGTGCTGCTCTTGTGTGCGGTGATGGGACTGCAGGAAAGTGTTTGTCTCCAAGACGCTTGCAGAGATTGTAGGGAGCCATGTGGAGGTGTGGGATGGCTAGCGGGGGATCGGAGAGACAGGTGACTTGTCAGAGCAGGAAGTCCTCTGTCGTCTGTGGAATCGAGAAGCAAACCTTGCCTTGTCGGACTGGGACTGGTGAGTGACGAGGATGAGACAAGACCTCTGCTCGGCTACATCGCTTGACTGAGCTTCACTCAGGCTGTGTATGATGGTGGACGACTCTGTGCGGGTGAGGAGCTCAGGTCGGTCTGAGCAGGCGGTGACGTGGCAGCAGGCGAAGGAGACGACGATAACAAGATACTCGTGGTAAGAACTCTTGACTCGACAGAAGCATCGTTGACGTCTCCGAGCAGCTGGTACATCCATCGCAAGCAGCGAACCGTCAAGTGAGTCTGCCGGCTGTTGCACTCAAACTCAGCCGTCCCCCAGCTGCCGATGGACCCTTGAGAAGGTATTCGACGGTCAAGGAAGGCTTGTACAGATAAGGTGAGAACGAGGGAAGGGAGGGGAAGGGGGGGGTTGGAGGAGGAGGCTGAAAGAGGTGTGTAGGAACTTCATCAAACCGGTTTCGGACGAAGAATTTGAGCGAGGGCAGGCTGATCCGGCACGCAGCTTCATCTTCTCCTTCACCAGTCTTGACGACTCGCGTACAGGCAACTCGTCGCCCCTTCTCAGCTGAGGTGGATAAAGTCTTCCAAGCAGCGCAGAACCAGCAAAGGAGCGCAGGTGCGACAGCACAGAGGAGAAGGAAGGGGAGGAGGAGTGATACACGAGCTGCAGCGCTTTGGCGGATAGACTTCAAATCATACCTCAAGGTGCTTCATCCCGCTCTGATCTCTGCCGCTCGTCCTCGCTCGCTCTTGTGACCCATGCTGACCAACCACAGACGCCGGAGGGTAGCGTTTTCATCCATCAACTCACAAGGTGAAGCTGTGATGGAGGATGTGAAGGTGACAGAGGAACAGAGCTGTGCGGGAGAGATTCAGGCCGCTGGTGCTACGAGCGCAGGAGCTGAGGTCGACGAATGCGGTCACTGCTCTACCTGCAGATCTCAAGACCGGCGACTTCATCTGAGACGGTAAGGGGGACGGGAAAGCGCAAGATACGTGAGGATGGAAGGAAGGTTGGAGGGCGAGGAGTCAATGAAGCGACGGTTGTGTGGTCACCTTTAGTAGAGGCGCTTGCGATCACGACCCTGCCTCTCCTCCCGTGCTCGTCAACTTGTTTGCTAAGGGGAGCGCTCTGAGAGAGACTCTGAGGGCCTCGAGGCGGAGCTCAGGCTCTCCTGCTTCCTCGCCCCGTGTCGCCTCCAGCTCTGCTGCCTCTGCTGCCGCGAGAGCAACTCGCCAGAACCTGTTGTGATATAGGAGGAGAGAGGGAAAGGAGGGGCAGGAAGGAGACAGAGGAGGAGGGAGTGGTTGAAGGGGAAAGGTGGGGATAAGGCGGTGGGAGAGGACAGGAAAGGGGGGTGGGAAGAGAAGAGGTCAGAAGGAAAGAGCTGCACGTGAAGGAGCTCACAGCTCATCGTGCGACTCCAGCAAGGACTTGACGGGAGAGAGGATGCGCTGGGCCTGGCGCCAGTCGCCCTCTGCCATGCACACTCGCGCTGTGAGCAGGCAGAGACGATGGTTTGCCGGATGTTTGGAGCTCGCGGCCAGCAGGAAGTCTCTGTGCTCCTCTCGAGACGAGCTTCGCTCGAGCTCCTCTAGAAACACGCTGAGCGTCTCGTTGAAGGCCTCGTAGTCCCTTCCGAAGCAGAGGTACCTGCTCTACCCTCACCCTCGGCCCCTGAGGTAGGCCCCCTCAACCCCCAACCCCAGCCCCTCCTCACCTCTCCTCCAGCTGCGCATGCTCAAGTCCATCCAACCAGCGCGGGTCGTCGAGAGCTGAAGGGGCAGTCAAGGGCGCCAGCATGAGCAGGTGGACTCACGGGTAAGCTTCGGCGCTTCCTCATGCAGGAACAGGAGCGCTCGCTGGCTCCTCTGGGACCCTCAGAGTCAGCTGGCTATAGCACCCTATCCTCTCCTCTACCTTAGCCCCCGCACGTATAGCGCCCTCCTGCCATATCAAACACCTGCTTCTTGGCTCGACTAATGATGCCATCGCAAGATCGAGAAGCTGCGACAGCGAAGGAGGAACATGAGCTGAACGGAAGCATGGAACAGAATCGACCTCATCCGATGACATGCTTCCAGTCCCTTCCCCTGCCTCGCCTTGGCTGAGAGCATGTAGCAGTATGACGTTCCTCCATAGCTTCCCGTCTAGTTCTGATGGCCTCCCCTCCCCTCCCCGTGTCCATCTACAACCATCGTCCGTGCCGAGCCACTTGTCTCCTCCCACCCTCGAGGACAGCTCCTCCAGCCATTCGCTCAGCTGGTGCAGATGTAGACCCGCTCCCCCACCAAAGCCTCGTACCACACATCTCACCATCATTCGCAATGCCTCCTCCCTCTCCTTCTCCAGCAGAAGAGATAGCTTCCCGTACAGATAGCAGAGATCCATGATCACCCCTTCTCTCCTCCATGCTCCCTCCCCCTCTCCTGTCTCATCCACTTGCTGCTCGACGGAGTTCGTGAGATCATGCAGCAGAGATAAAACTTCAGCAGCAGAAGCCTGCGATTCTGACAATGCGACTGGCAAGCTCCAACAAGAGACAAGCTCACTCGCGATGGCGCAGACAACTTCTCCGCAGGCCATGAGGGTCTTACCGTCCTCTGCATTGCCAGCAGACGACAACCATCGCACCACAGGCTGGAGGATTCTTCTACGGGCCGCGACCTCTCCGCGAGGTCCAACGAACCTGCCGGGGGAGGATGAGAAAGGAGGAGCAAGCAGCGCGACCTTCTCTCACATCCGCATCATCGCCACATAATCCGTCGCCAACCCCGGCGGAGGGAGCGAGAGAGGGAGGGCGAGACGATCCCGGCGAGCTCCCAGAGAGAGGAATGCTTCTTCGAAGAGAAGGAAGACCTAGAGCAAGACAAGGATGAAACCGAGGCAAAAGACAACACAATCACCTCTGAGGCTTCGACTTGTCTCTTCAAATAAACTCTCATGACAGTGTCCTCTTCGCTGCCTGTATGTACAAGCTTTCGACAAGCGAGGGAATTGAGGCCAGTGGTTGGACACATGGCCCTTCCTGTTAGACTTCCCTTGCTAGCAGTTGCTCCCAGCATGCAGTGAATCCGATCCGGCAGAACACCAAATAGCGCGATGTGAATCTTGAAACAAACAATTACATTGTTTCAGAAACATGCAAGGTCCACACCTGAGCCCTCCACAATGTTTCTTGGATGGCAAGAGGAACTTCTGATTGACTCGCATGCTTCGAAGTTGATTCACGCAGAACGCCCATTGCTTCAGCAGCGTTTCCTAACTGGCAGTGTTGGTGAGCGGCGCCAAGGAGCAAGTCAGCCCATAGAGACTGCCATCTTTCCTTCTCCTCTCCGTTACATCCTTCGCTCTCGCCCATTGCCTTCTCAGCTGCAGTCAGGAACGTGTGAGCGCGAGCACTACCTCCGTCCTGGCTCTGAGCGAACCGATGCCAGAGGAGCCAAGAGGCAGGGTTCAGCCGCACAGCATGCATCAGTAGCTCGCGCGACTCCCCCGAGCTTTTCTTCTCGAGGATGTCGAGGTAAAGTAGCCACAACGCGACGGAAGTGGGGTTATGGTCTAGCGCATGAGATAGAGTGTTCAAGGCAAGGTCCACCCTCAGGTTCATGTCGTTGTTCACTTGCGTGTCTGTGTCTGTTGCTCCTTCCAGCAGCAAACGAGCAGCTCGTATCCAGGAATGAATATCGGACGGATGCTTCAGCGATCGCGCCCGGAGCTCCTTCAACTCTTGAAAGTGTCCGAAGTATCTTGAATCCATCGAGAGATCCTGACTTGCAGGCTTCCACCTCTGAAGAAGCGCCTCTACCACGGGTTCGTCGTCCGTGCCTCCATCACCAGCAGGAGTCTCGTCCCCCTCGTTCACAAGAGAGATGTAGTCGTCGTCCCTCGGACAAGACTCCAGATGTGAAACCGAGTGATCGCCATGGGTCGCAGGGGTGCTTGCATCCTCCAGGTCGCTTGCTTGCTCGCCCACTGCAGGAGCTGATGCTTTGAGCTCTGGTTCGTTGTCGTTCGCCTTACTTCTAGAGTGCTCTGCAAGAGAGTCTCTAACATGGACATCCTTGCAATTAGGGTCGTCACAACGGCCATGGAGGTCGAATTTACACAAGAAGAGCATGGGGTTCAGTCTCCTCCTCTTCACCCTCAGATCGTCGTCCTGGAGTTCTTGCTGAGCATTTGTACAGTTCAACTCAAGCGAGTCTTGACCGTGATCATCTTCTGACTTTTGTGGGCAAATGCTTTGCAGTTGTGCAAGCTTGATTTCAAGATTTTCAATCTCTTTGTCTTTGTTGGTAACCGGCCTTTCGCCATTTACCACATCTAAGTTGCTCTCAGCTCCTTGTTCCTGCATCCTGTGTTTTATGCTGTGGATGATCTCTAAGCGGTCCATGCGGTTCCTGTGGAGCTCTTGCAAGGACAAGAGAGCCCGGCGAATGGTCTTCATCGAGTACCATCGATCATTCAGACTCTGCAGATCCCTCGCCATCCTCACCAGCTTCTCCTCTTCTACATTCGCCATTATCTGTTTAGCTCGATTTCAATGCCAGTCCGCCTCGCCATGATTCATAAACCGTCGGGAAGACAGAAAACACGCTGTAGGTGCTCCCATTGGGCCTATGGGGTACCATATAGTGAAGATAAATCATATAGTGAAGATTGATATCGGATTAAAAAGTTACCGGGCCACCGGGTGGTAGGCCCGGCGGGTGAAGGGGCAGGGGAGCAAGGGGTAGGGGTGGAGAACTTTGGACTGAGGCTGGGAAAGGTGGGGGTCCCAATAGCGGGCCTTGTGAGATACTCCGAATTTGATGTTGGTGAGGGGGGTGGGGTAGGGGCTGACGTCTGGGGTCGATGAGACGGCCGTGAAGGGTAAAATGGTAACAAGGGGATGGAGGGGCGACGAGGAGGTTGAGAGAGACATGGGTCTACCTCGTCGATGCTCGAGTCCCTGCACAAGACATTGTCAACTCATCGCTCACGCAAAGATGCTTGCGCTCAATGAACAGAAAAGGTTATACGGGAGTATACGAACACAAAAGTCATATATCTATGATCGAGGGCGGATATTGCAACATCAACATTTCAAAAAGAAAGCCTCCAAGTCAGAAAATGACTTTATCAAGAACAAGCAAAAGAAACGTTCTTTTTCACCATTGCATCCCTGTTACAAATTTTTATCTTTTATTTCACTTCTCTTTGTACAATCAAACGCCCTTAACGCAACTGAGCAGAAACAGGTAACCTGCTGCTATTGATTATCTATGTTGCTTTTGCATGAATCAAGTGATTAATATGTCTGCTGACTTCTTTGTCTTGAATCACAGGTGTATATAACCACTATGCGGGTCCTCACTCCACCCATCAACACATCGATCGGTTTCTTAGGAAATACAGATGTGCCTGCATTGTTTTATCCGCCTCCCAGTGTGATATTGACAGATGATCTTGGAAATGTCTCCAACGTATCATCGAGTCAAGCTGGGGTTGTTGTGGCCTTGCTTTGCTACAACCAGCTGGGTCTACTGTTGCAAGACATCCAACCATCTTCAATGTGCGAATGTTCCAACACTAACTGCTACACCAAGACTACGCTGCAGGATGCGAAGACTATGTCTCAGTATCATCTTACTGGGTCACTGATTGAAACCTTTGACGCATCCATTGCTACATTCACAGACCTCAGAACGATCATCTCAGGTCAGAGTCTACAACTGGTCTTCGTCAGATACGTCGAAGGAGCATACTCAGGAATGTACACGATTTCATCTCCATTTTCTGTTAGCCCAGGTATATTACGGAAGTTGCAATATGTAATTGATCCCTCCAATAATTCCACGAGTTGGTGCACTCGCTGTGACCGAGGACTGTACATAGCTGGTTCAGACATGTTATCGAAAGTAGCAATGTATGATCACTATGGAAATCTGATGAGATTTTGTGACAGCAACAGCCCTTTTTGTCGATTGTCTCAGAATGATGTCAAAAGTGGGGCGTGTTTCCCATTTCAACAAAATGTTGAAAACAATTTACCAAGACGATTCACCATATCACTACTCGATTCAACAAATGTGTCTGTTCCCTTTAGCTACTATCAAAACGACAATCAAAACCCTGACAGATCCATGGGATATTTGTCTTTCTCTCCAGAGCAAGTAAAAACTGCCGGCATCGGCTACAGATTTCAAGTTTTGGCTAGTGACTTAACGATAGTACCTTCTTCCTGCGGGAACATCTGGAATTGCCCTTGTAGTGATTTCATTCTCGGAAATGTAATTGGTCAAGTCATCGCAACAACTCAACCGTTTGAGGTCGTGAATGCCCCTCCAAAGTATTTGATGCCAAAAAGTGGGCAGATTGAGAACGTGGACGCTGAGATCTTTTTGAAGCAGCCGACGATAATGGTGTATGATTCTTATTACAATCTGGTTGTAAGCGACTGCTTCACCACTTGCTCAGGATCTCTCAGTAACGAGATATGCCACAGTTCTACATCGATTCAGTGCATACAGGAATCATACATCACGGTCACATTGAACAACAACGAACTTACATTTGGTGGCAACAAAACAGCAATCGCATTAGCTGGAATTGCATCGTTTACAGACCTTTACATAGATACTCTCAGTGCTGCAGAGAGTGCAGCTTGTTCTGCATGTACGGGTGTAGGAGTGTGCCCAACGTGTCAGCAATGCTATACGAAAACCAAACGAATTACATGTACACGTTGACGTTCACTCTGAGCAGTCCTTACAACCCTTCGCCAGCTACTGTGCAGGTCAAATTGAATCCAAGAGTGCAATCTCTCAAGTTTCAATCTTCTGGTGCTGTCTGCACATGTGTTACGCAATGCGCGTCTCCCGTGAATTTGATTGCCTTGGAGTATTTTACATTCTCCTTTCAAATCCAGGCATCTGATTGCTCGGGGAAATCGCCGTTGACACAGATGCAGTCGTCTGTTGGAGTTGCGATACAAAGCAGTCCAGATCCAAATTCTCAATTATTCGGAACGACGCAAGTCGCTTTCGTCGATGGTACTGCTACATTTGATCAATTATATGTGGACAAGAAAGGTGATGGATACCTCTTGGAGTTCAACTATCTTGGAAATTCCAAGGCATTCAGCATCAAGTCACCAGCTCTTTGTATTCAAGAAGGGGTCACAAGCATCAAACTTCTGTCCACACCAGAGAAAGTCAACCAGACAGCAGGCATTCCCTTCACGATCCAACCTAAAGTACAGTTGATGACTTCGACATCTGTGGCTTATGGCTCGCGAGGATTCGTGACGGCAAGCATCAACTTTGATCCCGGAGCTAAGAGTGTTCAGAACCCTGGAACATCGCAACTGCTTGGTACCACCATCCTCCAGTCAAATCTAGGAACTGTTACCTTCACAGACTTGGCGATCAACAAGGCATCCGTGGGTCAGGGTTATATCAACAGTGGCTTCACTCTCACCTTCGCTTACTTCTCAGCTACGGTGCAAACTGGATCTATTCCGGTGTATCCCAACATCTGGACCAAGCTCCTGGTTCCCTACAACAAGCAGCCAGTTGGAGGGGTGACCGGAAATCCACTAACAAGACAACCACAAGTCTACCTAGTTGATGACTATTACAATCAAATACTCGCAGGCAAAGTGCCCGCAAACACTCTCGTCAATTTCTCTTTGGTGTCCAGCGGAGTACAAACAAATCGTAGACCAGTATTGTTACTTGATGGTTGTGATATGTCGTGTACTGGAATTCCATTGACTTGCATATCTTGTCCTCCGGTTCCACTTTCACCGACGTCAAATTATGTGCAATTTACAAATCTCAGACTGGATGTCGCTGGCGTTGGATACAAATTGCATTTTGCAGCTGTTGGATATCCCAGCATAGCAGTCTCTTCTGCTTCCTTCACAGTGGTGGCGGGCCCTGCAGCAACGTTGGCCTGCAATTTTATTTCAGATCGCAACCGAGCTGATCAACCGCTCATTACACAACCTCAGATACAACTGCAAGATTTGTACGGAAATCTCTTGTTTCTCACATCTGGGTATCAGGTGATTGTTTCCTTACTACCGCTTGCGGGAAAGTTTCCTGTTCCTCTTCCCTCTCCTCCTGTGCCGGGTCAGCCCAATGCTTCTTTATGTAAGTTATATCCGTTTCCCTTAGAAGGACAGAAAACTGCTTCACTTGTAAATGGTACAGCTTCCTTCACTGACCTTTCCGTCCGCCAAGTAATGAACGCATACAGACTTCACTTTTCCATGACTATCAACAATAAGCTGATAGAGGTAAATTCGAATAGCTTTAATGTTACTCCTGGGCAAGCAGCCTCGTTGTGTAACTACTCCTTGATGGCACAATGTGGAATATATTCACCATGTTTACAAAAGGCAATCATTGTTTGCATCGATTCATATGGCAACATTCAAAGTAATTGTAGTCTGTCAACGCAAAGTCCAACGTGCACAAGTGCGGGAGTGACGGGTGCACTGTGTTCAGCACCCATGCACGCTCCAAAGTATTGTGAAGTGGGATATGTCTGTGCAATCATCGAGCAAGGTCCAGCGGGTGCAAAGATCAACAGCAGCGTCTTGAACTCATACGAAATCCCGTACACGTGTCTCACTGATGGAAAAGGAGTTTTCAATGATCTGCGATTCACCATCACGAATCCGTTTTACAAGGTGACTTTTTTTTCATACATTTGCTCGCGTGATACAATTACCGGAAACTGGACAGCAGTAGAGTTTAACTACACATCACCATTCTTTCCAGTATTACCCCCTGCACCAGAATTCAAGGTCGTGCAATTTTCGGTTGATTTGTTACAAATTTTTACTGTGTTCGACAGAGTAACGAACATGAACAATGATCAGTACTCGATAGGGTCAACTCTGTGCGATAAAGTTTTTTCTCCAACTTTTACTGCTACTTTGGGGCAAGGATTTTCGTGCGCCTGGCTGAATGCGTCAGCGCTGGCTGTAACATTTGGTTCATTTGCAACGGTCAATGCAAGCACTGTTCTAGAGCTGTCCACATCGTCGAACATTACTTATACCGAATCCATTGATGGAGTCAGCCTCCAATCTTTTCCTGCCACTACTCAACTCGGGCAGATTGTAAACGGGAAGAACGTGACACGACAATTCATTTCCATACCTCAAAACGCTCTTTCTCCATTACCAGTTCTAAGCGGCTTAAGCAAACTCTCAGCATGTGATAGAATTGGTATCGATGCATCTGGTTCGATCGGAAATGGGGCACGGAACTTTACGACTTTGACTTGGGGAGTGAATTTTGACGAGTCTTACCCAGCAGCAGGAATTCTATCTTCAGGACTCCAGCGAACTTTCATCAATCGTTATGTCGAGTTTTCAAGTTTGTTGGCGGGAGTTTCGAATCAAGTGTCTCTACGGTTGCGCCCGAACGCAGCCATCTTGCCCGGATCGAGAATTACTCTTCTAGGACTTCCTGGTCCCGTGCTTCGCGAGTATGACTGCCCATCCATGCAAGCGCAGGCTTCCTCGCAGGTTTCCTGCATTCATGACATTGGCTTGTCAAACCCCCGAACATCATGCATAGATGTGATCTTGGAGGGTCCAAGCGCTTCCTCGTTCATGCCCAGCTCTCAATCACAACCCAAACCTGTGGCGCAGTGGTACAAGGGCGTGTCTGGTTGGGAGCTACACTTGAGAGTGCAGTATCAAGCATCTCAAAGTTGTTGTTATCTACCTGCCACTCAAGACACCATCATTTCTTTCACAATCGACAACCCAAATTACCCCATTCAAAGCTCTGTGTCCATACAAGTAGAATGTGATGAAGCTTATCCAAGCTGTGTACAATCAAACTCAAGTTTGTTTGTGTATAACAGCAACTTCGGGCCTATCGGACCTCAAAATTTTCCGTTGCAAACCCTCCTTGCTACTTGTTTACCAGCTTTCTTATGTGCGACTGGTGTGACATTCGGAGGCAACGATTTTCCCATTCAAGTTGTTGCGGCTCAGATCTCTGAGACAACCCGAGTGAAGTCGACCTTGAACACCATCTCAATGACGTTCTCGTTGTCAACTACTGCACCTCCAGGAGCCGTCATTCTTGTTTATGGATTGAACGGCACTTCACAGAAAGCTGGTAGCGTCTGCATTTATGGTGACTCTAATGCAAACATTTCTTGCTCAAAATGTAGTGCAAATCCAAGCATACATATCGGTACGTGGTATACAGGAGCGAATGCTTTGAGATTTGTGGTGAGGAAAGAATATGTGCTTTCATCATTGCAACCAATCAAAATATCATTCAAATTGCCCAATCCTTCCTACACCAATCGTTTGACTTGTGGGAGCAGGAACGTGCTTGACTGCGCGTCTCTCAGTCGGCCTTACATTCAAGTGTTATCCAACCCCGAGTCGAGGTTCTCACCGACTCCTTATGCGGTAGCTGGTGACGTGTTGGGTGCGGGAATTCAACCAACGTTCACAGTGTCCAACATGATCCAGACAAACGCTATTGCAGGAGTTCAGACCATTCTTATCGTCCAGCTAGTATCTAACATCGATTTGCCCGTGAACACAACGCTTACCCTCACAAATATGAATGGGATAGAATTTGTCGGTCCGTTTCCCAACGAGGATCGGCTGAATGGTTGTTGGGAATCAGTTACAGATCCAAATCAGACTGCTGCTAAGAATCTTTCTTTTGTTCTCACCAAGTGTGATGTCTTTGCGGATAATCTTTTCTCGTTGTACGTCTTTGTGACAAACCCACTGTCGAATGGACTTTATTCCCAAGTCCTGGTGACGGCCTCATACCATGGTTGCGATTTATGTCAGAGTAGCTGTAGGTGTGAGGTCACTTCTCCAGATCCATTCGAAATTCTTCCACAGCAAGTAACACTTGCAAACTCGAACAAGCTGCTGCTGATCCAATACGGCAGCTCCGTTCGCTTCAACGAGAGTTCAAACGTCACAGGCCAGATCAACACGTTGACGATCTCCTTGGCCTCAAATGCCTCCATCTTGTCGGGTTCGTCCTTCACGATATCGGGTCTCAATGCAATTAGCAATCCACCTGCGACAATTATCGTTACCTTGACATATGGCACAGCAGTACAACCAGTCTCAGGGAGCTTTGACTCCACGAAAGGAGCGCTGACTTTCAAGACGATTCAACCAATTTCACCAGGGAATCTTGGTATCGAATTTGTGGTGGAGAACCCAGAAAACGCGAAAAGCAATTCCAAAATTACTTTGAAGGGCAACATTATACCTGGAATCTGTTCTGAACCACTGGCGATGCAAGAATGTGTTCAAGGCCTCGCATCTAGGTCATTGAAGGCGATTGAGTTTGAAGCCTCAGTCACCGACCGACTTCTTCTCAGCAATGGCAACAAAACGCTTGTTATCAAGACCATTCAGGAACTCTCTACAGTCTTTGGCGCATATAATATCATTGCTGTCCACCTCCGGCCAAATTTCAAATTCAAAGGAAGTGGTAGCAGCATCACTTTGCAGGGCCTCAAGAACTCAATTTGGCCCCCAAAAACGACTTCGACTAGTCAAATTCAACTGGAAAATTCAATAGCTGACTTGCTTCCCAACTGTTCGTGTATTTCTTGTGAATCTTCGAATTGTGATTGTACTCAATCAACATTGAACTCGCTGCAGCTGAATCTATTGTTTTGGAACTATGATCAATCTCAGAATCTTTTGTTTGATAAGCCTGTCACTGGTGAATGGGATCCCTCAGTCGGGACTTTGAAAGTGACATTGTCACCTAATGCTGAAATCCAAGCAAACCAAGACATTGTTTTTGCTTTCTCTGTTCGCAATCCAACTGTCAGATCGCGACCAAATGCTTTGAATGTAACTCTATTAACCCCGGATATCACCATTAATGCTGAATTTCAAAAAACTGTTCTGGTCGCAGGCTCGCTGCCCAAGTTCATCGAATTCACAATCAAAGACGAGGTCAGCACGGCAGATGACTTCAACAATTACACCATCACATTTGCTGCCAACTTTCCCATGACCACCTTGCTCACGGACTTGACAAGTCAGACCTCTGCGATCACCATATCTGGATTGACTGAGTTTCAGACACCAATACCAGGTCCATATCCCCTCCAAGGCGCCTCTCGATTCATGGCCTCGAAGCGAGGTGTCTATCAGGTGCTGTCCACGTCATCGATCAGCTTTGTGTCAGGCGTGATGCTGGGTGGTTGTGAGTCTAGTTCAGCGGGATGCTCACTATACATTCCTGGCGTGTACGATTATCGTTCGTTACTGTCATATACAGTGAGCTTTGTGCTCAAGAATGGAGCTATTCTCAACTCTCTGGGCACGCTCCCATCGATCAGCTTCTCTAGCACTGAAGTAACTGTTGCTGCGACAGCTACCACGTCTCTCTCTGTCGGCCAAGTGCTCACATACCCACAAGTGATACGCTCAAATATATCAGAGTCGTCAAACATTCAGAGATCTCCAAACACGATTGCGATAGAGTTGAGCGTGAACTTTGATTTAAGAGGAGGTTCTAAGGTTTCTTTCGGAGGCTTTCAAAACAGCTTGTCAAGTAGCAAGATCACGATCCGTAACAACTTCGAAACAGCAATACAAGGAATCTACAATTTATCGAAGGGAACTGTTGAATTCACATTGGGTCAAAAGGTGGTTGTCAAGGCTCAGTCATTGATGTCCTTCAACTTCACTCTGGTGAATCCCTCTCAATCTCGGATTCCTTCGGCGGTAACAGTTTCCATTACCGCGTCGTCATACACTGCCACCTGGGATTGCAACTCTTTACAGACTTCGGTACTGGGAAGTGATGTAGTCGTCCCCTCAACTGTCCTAGCAGGACCGCTGGTGTTCGGTGCGTCAAACCCCTTGGATTTTGCTGTCAGAAGAGTTGGAGAGTCCACGCGTGTGAACTATGCAATCAACAAGATATGGGTGACTCTAGTGCCCTTCACAAGTGTGCCGGCAGGATCCTCCATGACTATCTCTGGAATTTCGAGCACGTACACTACTCAACAGGTCCTAGAGATCAATGGAACTTCTTCTTCTGCACTCACAGCCATCTTCAATCAAATATCTCAAAATAGTTTCTTCGTTCAGTTGACTCTCAACGTGGAAATGATCGCAGGTCAAGAGTTTGTGTTCTACTTCTTGTTGCAGAATAGGAATGGTCTCCAGCCAAAGAACGAGTTGCAGATCTCGGTACAAGGACCGCCAAGCACTGCAAATTACTACTCATTTGGACCTGTGCCGTTGATTGGCGATGTCTTGCGTTCTGGTTATGCGCTCTCGTGGGTGAAGAAGACAATCCAGCAGGAGACGAGGGTTGTAGGTGCAAGCAACGTTTTAAAGTTCACCATTCGCCCGAACGCTCCTCTCTATGAAAACACGAGAATTCTCATCTACGGTCTCAGGAACACGCTATCTTTGAAATGCTTCCCATGCGCAACTACTCTCATACCAGGCTTGGGATGCTCCACCGAGTGCACCCGCTGCGTGTCGAGACTTTGTAAGCAAGTGTACAACGAAAACTTGAACGCTAACTCTCTCTTCCTCATCAATTCCCCATTTGATTCAAGCACTGGAAATCTGAATTTGACAATAGCTCCCAGCCAGCTTATACCCGAGGACAAGGAAACCGTTTTTACCATCATTGTTTACAACAGTAATGAAACAAGCAATTTTCGAGCAGACTGCGTACCTTCTAATCAAGATTCTTGTCTTAGGATGGAAGTGTTGAATGCAGCCGTTTGTCCAGGAACATCGCTGAATGGAATGACATGCTCCAATCCGGAAACCATTCCTGCAGCGCAAAAGACGATATCAACTTCAACCCCTTCGATAGATAATTATGGTAATTCAAACATTGACACATGCAGTGTCTGCCTTCGGACTGCCGACGTTTATGAACTGAATACTGTTTTACAAACGCAGACCTCTTTGATCATCAGCAATCTGTCTGTGTATTCTCCTAGTTTACAAAATGTCCCAACTCTCATCCAAGGTGGCGTTGCACCTGGTCACTACCAAGTTTTCATTTTACTTTCAAACTGGGCAGGGCAAAGCAAGAAAGCATTCTTTGACCTTGAAAAGCCTTACCTGCCTCCCGGTTATGGTTATGGTCCCATGCATAACGAGTACCTGGCTCCCACCATCAGGATGACCAACCCAAACAACATCACCATATTGTCTGGGAGAAGTTTGAATTTCTACTCGCATGGAACTCCGATCACATGCTTGGACATCGGTCTGTCGTCAGATCTGAGCTATTCTTGGATAGTCTCTTGCCAAACGTGCAAATCTCAAAGTTCACTCAAGACTTTGCTTGGAAACTCTCTTCGCCCCTGGCTTTCTGTGTCTTCGGACTATCTTCTTGCAGGATGTGTATGTAACTTCACCGTCGTAGCCCATCAGTCGAGTGTCACTTCATCAGCAAGTGTGATTGTGAACGTCAGGCCCAAACGGTTGATTCCAGCTATAACTGGAGTCAATGCAGGCGGAGAGATGTCAAAGTTGCAAGACATATCTTTGAGCGCAAAGAGTTCTCATGATCCCGAGTCAGTTGTGACGAACTTTCAGATCACTGATGCACAAATTCAGTGGGTTTGTACTTACTCAAATTGTACGACTTGCTTCGTTCAACAACTTTGCCCAACTGATTCGTACTCGGTCATCAACAGTGCGGAATTTGTGATGTATTCATCCAAGTTGATCGTCGGAGCTCGTTACACTATAGAGTTGCAAATACAACGAAAGTCAAGCTTACTCAGTACAGTATTTGGGAGTTCATCCATCCCCTTCATGGGTGACTGGACTAGTACGAGTACTACGCAGGTGGAATTCACAGTGGTTGACCGCCCAGTTCTCTTGTGCAATATTTTGATGTGTAGCACAGCGATGACTAATGTTTATTCCTGTGGCAGTACGTCTCAGAATGTGCAAGTCAGTGGCAACCAGTACCAGTACCTCAAGGGGTCCTGCACTCCCTCGGCAAGTGCTGGGATCTCCTCGTACTCGTGGACGCTTGTCAGTGACGTGCTGCCCAATTTGACGTCTGCAGACATTTCTACCTCGCTCTCGACCTCCTTCCTGGTGGTCAACCCCAGCGTCCTTAGAGCTGGGGTCAGTGCGAAATTTAGATTCAGTGCTGTAGACACAGCGTTGGTGTTGGGCTACTCTGAAATAACTTTAATAGCCAACTCCCCTCCAAGCGGTGGATACATCAGTGTTTTTCCGACCAGGGGAGTTGCTCTGGTCGACAACTTTGAGATCTCAGCACCAGCCTGGAATCCTAGCAGCAATGACAACCTTCCCTTAGTGTTCACGTTCTTTGCCAACGAGACTTTGCTTGCTCAGCAGTCTTCGATCACACTGAACACGATTCTGTTTCAGGGAGACGCTTCAGCAAGCTTCCGACTTTCAATTCATGTCATAGTATCTGACAGTCTTGGAGATTATGCTGCTGCAGCACAAAATGTAACCGTCATCACAAACAACACGGATATACAAGCTTTCGCAAGAAATCAGATCAACCAAATCGATCAAGTGTTTTTGAATGCAGGTGATGTTGCCAAGGCTACTCAATACATGGGCATTGTTGCGTCTACTCTCAATGCAAACCCTGCACCTTGCATCAACCCTCAGGAGCTAGGGTGCACTGGAGCATGCTGTCTTCGCATCGCATTACTCAACAGTTTGCAGTTGACTGGCTCCATGTACGAACTGTCGTCATCCAGTCTGCCTATCATTGCCAATACGATGCTGCAGATCTTGAAAGCGCCGGAGGAGATTTCCTTCTCTTTGTTACAAGAAGCTATCTCGTACTCATCAACTCTCATCTCGAGCGAGTCAGGTAGTGGCGCAAAGAATCGGTACTTGCCAGGGAACTTGACTCAGCTTGTAGCCGCTCTGCTAGCAAGTGCGAAACTAAACGGCGGATCGATGATCGATGCAAGGTTGAATGCGAGGAGTCTTGTCAAGAGCTCAGCCGGTCGACAGCTCAAGGCAGTCTTGGGACTTACTGCGAGGAGTGCGAAAGCAGTGATCATGGCAGCCTTGTCCCTTCTCTCGTCCATCTCCACACTAAGTACCCAGCACACGATCCCAGACATATCCAAAGCTGTAGTCATTCAATCTGCCGGAATCATCGTGAACACGTCGGTGTTCTCTCAAACCTACTTCTCTATCAACGGTTTTGTTGTGTCGTTGAACAACTCAGAGATGTCGATCGGACTTCCTTCAAGCCTGCTTTCGTACATAGATCCAACAACCCCACTCACTACCAGCATCTTTCAGATAATGGTTGCACAATTCGCTTATTCGGACAACCCTATCACGGGATCACTTGGTCCAGAAATTGTTCTTCAAATCCGACCATTTGGCAAAGACAACGTGATCTCTTTCAACATCATCGCAGGTCTGCCTATCACATTCAAGGTAAGTGAGCTTCTTTCCTTGGTTGATTCTGCCTGCTGACTTGCACCTCAAGCTCCTTCGCACGCAGCCTCTCAACTACTCCACACCGCCCCAACCGGGCTTCCAGCTCGTCCCCTTCATCCAGTACTTCGATGCTGACATCAGCGTATGGCAGTGGAAATCTACTGGAATGACATCTAGCACGTCTGTCAAGGTCACAGCTGCCCCGCAGCTGGTGACTTCGTCAGGGTACTCGCTGAGCCAAAGGGTGTCCATCTTCTCGGTTTCTCAGGTCTGGGCAGGGTGTGATGGGGTCGCGTTCAGTGGCACTGTGATCGACTCTTGCGGGGTTTGCGGAGGAATGAACTACAGCTGCAGCGGCTGCGACGGAATCCCGAACACCGGCAGAGACAAGAATTGCAGTCAACATGGAGCTTGCAGCGGAGGAGCATGTGTCTGCTACGAGAACTACTACGGCATCATGTGCGAGACCTTCTGCAGGTCTGACGAACTCTCCTGCCGTTGGTGCGAGTGACTCTGTTTGCAGGGACAGTGTCATCTGTTCGGGTCATGGGAGGTGCAACCCCGGGACTGGAACCAGTTGCAGCTGCGAGCAAGGATGGGAGTCAGCTCCTGGCATCGCATTTCCTGGTCCGTTCTGTAATGTGTCCACCACAGCAGTTGCATCCAACTCCAACCTGTCGCAAACCGCGATACGCATCCTGCTGACCATCGGGCTGCCGGCCTTCACCGGGGCTGTCATTCTCTCAGCAGTCGGCGTGGTGATGTTCAACCACCGCAGGAGGATGCTCAAGAAGTCCTTCAAGACCATCATCGAGTTCCCTCAGCCGCAACTTGACGTGACGGCTGAGGTGCGAGACAGCAACCTGCTCATGGTCCCGGACGAAGACGGCTGGGCCAACTTCGAGGTAACTGCTCTCCTGCTTGACCTTGTCCGTGATGCCTCTGTCAGATGCCAAAAGCCTCAGCAAAGTTAAGCTACGGGCCAAGCAGCGGTCAGCTGGCAACCGCCGTGGCAGCGAGCACTCGGACGGAGCTGGAGCATGTGTCTTTGGAGTGCATCGATCGACGAGCGTCGCTCATCCGCAACCTGACCAAGTCGAAGTTCACGACGAGGAAGTACAAGACCAACATGCCCCTAGAGGCAAGTGCGGTGAAGGAAGAAGCGTCGGACGAGGAGAGCGACACATGGAGCAGCGACTCAGAAGTCGGCATGCACGTCAAGTCTTGGCATATCACTAATCACCCGGAGTGGTTGGATCACGACAAGAACATGGACAGTCAATGAGGTGAGAGAGAAGCAGAGCAGATTCAACGTCTGTCCTTGTTGTATCATTTACAGAGAGATGTCATCCCGTCTTTGTCACGCATTTCATGTTACCACTCATCGTCGGGCGTGTACCCCAATGACGGAGGTTCCCCGTACTTGAACATGAAGACTCGATCGGACTCGTAGACTGGGATGAAAAATTTGACCCACCTGAGGGATCGCGTGATAGGCTGAAGATGAGGAAAGCAAGACGGGGAGGAGGGGAGGATGGCGAGTGATGGGCAGGTGGAGAAGGAAGGTGGAGAGTTGTACGTGAGTTGGAGGGAGAGGCCAGGTGAGGTGGGGGGGGAGGCGGGCTTACCCATCATCGACGCTTTGTAATGTGTCGACCCTCGCGACCGCTAGCGACCCGACGGTTCCTTCGAAGCCGAAAGTTGCGAGCAGCTGGTACTGGAAGGCAAGCTCCCGGCCTGAGCTCGTGCCTCCTCCGCGTTTCTTGACCGGGCGGAAGATGTAGGCTGCGTCTGCGCAGTCGCCGGCGACAAAGAGATGGGGTGGAAGACCTGCGGGGGTTCAGAAGAACTTGAGGGACTGCCTGCGCCCCGTCACCTTGCTGCCGCAGCGACTCGTGCGGATGAAACGGATAGACGAAGCCCGGAGCTCCCGGGTTGATGCCCACGCGCTTGACCATGAAACCTGATGAGATGGTCGTGCGTCGCCAGACAAGCTTCTCGCTCCCTCCTGACCCAACTCCCTGCTCACAAGAGCCTTACTCGCTCCCATCTCCTCGACAACCTCCCCACACTCCTCCTCCTCCTCCTCCTCCTCCCTTCGCACCTTAGCGAAAGCCGATTCGAGAATCTGCAAGACGTTGAGCCAGAGGTCCTTGCGATGCACTTGAACTTCGCGGTAAAACCGACGCATCAGCCGTTGAAACTCGTCAACGTCCAGCAGGCCTGCAGCATGTCGCGAGTCATGCGACTGGTCAGCTGCTTGCGCCTCACCGTTTCCATCCGTATCCGCCTCGATGAACAAGTTGGCGAGCTCGACGTCGGAGCACTCGATGCTGTAGGGGCTTAGTGAAAGGACGAAGGAGCAGGAGACATCAACTTCACGCACTTGAAGGTGTCAAACGCGTTTCGGATGCTAATCATGTCGACTCCGCCTGCGCTCAAACGCATTCAGATGCTGCAGTGCTGGACCTAATGGGATAGAAGCAAGCGGAAGCAACCCGATCGATCGATGTCGATGGATCGGAATATCTCAGGGATGAGCTTCTGACAGCGGCAGATGAGCGAAGGAGGCGACAGAAATTCAAAACCTTCAAGTCTTCGTCATCAAGCACCTTCTCTTCCTCCCCTTGCATCCTCGAGACTGCAAACAAGCTAAGAGGCGAGAAATGCTCCGCCTCTCCCCCACCCGCGTTCTCAAAGTTCTTGAGGGCGTTCCCGATGATCTGCAAAGGATTGCTCCGACCTGCCCCACGTCATCCCCTATCTCGTCTCCTCCCACCTCTTACGTTGCTCGTCGAGCTCTTGGCAAAGTCGCTGAAACTCGGAAAACTCGATCTGTCCGCTCCCATCCCAGTCGACCTCCTGCTCAATTCCATTACCTTCTCCTTCAGACTCTCCCGTCGTGTCCATGGGCCCTTCATCTGCCCCCTCTCACGCCTTCCCTTCCCTGTCGACCTCTCGCTTCCATTTTACTCCCTGCCTTCTCCTCTGCCATCGCACCCTTCGCGCCATCTAGTTGATACAGCTTCTCTCGTCTACCTCTGCAGCTTCTCTCCTCTACCACTCCGCGACCTTCCATATCTTCCTGTTCTTCTCGGCTCACCTTCAGCATCGCCTGAATGTCGTAGTCCCGCACCTCCAACTGCATCCTGCAGACGATACTTCAATCCACCTCACAGCCAGCAGGTCCCTCACGTCTTCAGCGCGCTCGTCAGGTCTTGAATGTCGATGCTCCCTGCTCTCTTGTCACTGCCACCATCCTCCTCCTCCTTCCGTCACCTGAGTTGTCCACATCCAGTCGCTGGAACATGGCGACGAGGTCGTTGGTGTTGAAGCTCGAGCTCCTCTCTCGACTCCGCTTCCAGTTGACGGGTATCCGATAGGCAAACAAGGAGCCTCCCTTCACCTCCTGCTCATCGTCCACCTCAAGGTCCCTGGGAGGAGGGATATTCACGCGGTAGGACCACTTGGAGCTTCGCCATGGAAGGAGCGACGAGCCTTCGCTGACCTCAGCCGTTAGATCCTCGTGGGTTGTGACGAGCAGGTGGGAGTTGGGGCCCTCCAGGTCTGCTGCCACTACACTGTACGCCTGACCGAGCTTGTCGTCAATCAGCTCCGTCTGCACCACCTTGGGCGACTTGCAAGTCTCGTCCCACCTGAGCGAGAAGAAGCTCAAGCGCTGCCGGAAGAACTCAGCCGCCACCACCTCCACCGTGTCATCCTCGGGGTCCAGGTCAACCACCTCGAACATCACGTCCGGCCCCTCCGCAAGGATCACTTCCCTCCATGGCAGGTTCCATTCCGCAAAGGGGTTCACAGTGTCAGGCTGCTCCAGCCACACCAGCTCTCCCTCCGCCTCCTGGAACGGCAGGATCGGCTTCCTCGCTCGAGCTGTCAGAACTCCCCTAGCAGAGCCAAAGTGAAGAGGAACAGCACGGTGATAGAACCATGACTTCTTGCTCTCTGTCAACCTGTAGGCGACTTCATTCGGGCCTCCCGGATCCTTGACGATTGTCACAGAGCCATCGTTCTTGCCAGGCACCAGGAAGCCGTCGGCAACGAGGATACAAGCTTCATCCAGGCCCTTGAACTCGTCGGCTGCCACATGCTCCACAGCGTTTGGCCATAGGAATTCCGTGCTGCACTTCCTCGTCGCGTCTCGCCCTCTCACGTCGACTCCCACCACAGAGCCTGGACGTGCGAGGCCGAACCCAGTCATCCAGAGCCTCTGCATGGTCTCGTCGGCGACAGGAGGAAGGATCTGCAGGAAGCCTGGCTTCTCATACCGCATGTTCCCCAGCACCGAGAACTGCGACGCGCGATCAGCATCGCCGGAGTCGAGGGAAACCCAACCGGCGTGCGAGGGCTTCTTGATGGTGTCGTTGAGAAACACATGGAAGTCGAGCTGACTCTTAGTCTGCAAGGGAAGGCGGAGGAGGCCGATGGATCCGATGTCTTTCGACATGTCTGCAGCCTCTATCTTGGTCTTGATCTGCACGTGCATCGGCGAACAGATCTGCTCCAGGTCTCCCACAGGCTCTCGCTCGTCGCCTCCAGCTGACTGACTGGCTGCCGGCGTCGCGTCGACATCAGAGACTGCTGTCATGCACACGCGCGACCTGGGCCGCAGGTTGACTTTCCAGCAGGGAGGAGGAGACCCTTGCAGACGTGTGCGGGGTTCCCGTACGTGGATGCTGGACAAGAACCCATCGACGTGGGTCAAATCAGTTAGTTCCACAAGTATCGCCAAGGAGAGAAATGTCCTGCCGTTGACACCTCTCATCTCGTATCATGTGCCTGCTCCATACTCCAGCCCTTCACGTGGCCACCATGTTCTCCTGTTCACATGTTCCCTTCACCGCGATGCTCGTTTCCATCCCTGCATACTATTGTAGCCGCAGGCAATCAGTTCGTAAGTTCTCCTCAAGCCGCTAAGGGCATCAGACTCAGTATCAGGTTATCTGCTATCACCATCAGAGTCAGTAGCTGAATGTCTACCATAATCATCCAGCGTTAATGTTTTCCTCCCTTTTTTTCATTTTTCCATCTTGATCTATCATCCGTAACAACCTGACTCTGATGCGCTGGACTCAATGGAGACTTCGAAAACATCTTTCTACGCATACATTTTTCTGCCTAGGACATTGAATCTCATAATTTTCTGTGCCATGATCGCATCGCAATACTCCGGCTGGAGAAGATGCAAAGGTGAATGCCTTGTGCCTTTTTGGATTTCGACATACCTCAATCCTCTCGCGCCTTTTCACATCACTCTGGTGCCTGCTCTGACTTTTCTCACTCCTCAGACACTGCCTCCTCTTCCCATTGCTCCTGGCTATCCCCTCCCTCTACCACCATCGCCTCTACCACCATCGCCTCTACCTCGTCGATTGCTGCACCTCCCCCCATTCTCCGCCTGCTTATAACATTTTACAAGTTTTTAAAACCGTTAAAACGTTACAACCAGTTTTCCTTGTACCATTCTGTAACGGTCAGTGCGCGCGCGAAGCCATGTCTGGAGGAAGGGACGAAGAGGAGAAGGAGGGAGAGGAGAGGGACGAAGAGGAGAGGGACGAAGAGGAGAGGGAGGGAGAGGAGAGGGAAAACAAGGGGGAGATAAGAGAAGGAGAGAGGGGGAGACAAAGCGACTACAGGATAGGAGATCAGAGGAGAGCAGAGGAAGGCAGAGGTGTATTACGGAGGAGAGGGGAGAGAGCAGAGCAGGGCAAAGGATACGGAAGTAGAAGGATAAGAGGCGAGGCGAGGAGAGAGGAGAGGAGAGGCAAAAAGAAGAGAGCAACAAACGCATAAGTGGGAGACGAGACGGGAAGGGACGAGAAGAGAAATGTAGAGGGCAGGGCAGGGCAAAGGAGAAGAGAGCAGCTTAGAAAGTGATTAGAGAGGTGGGAAGCAAAGGCAAGGGAAAGAGAAGAGAAGCGATGGGTACCAGAGAGAAGGAATGAAAGTTGGGATATGACAAAGGGAAGGGAGTCTAGTGATCCTAAAGAGGAGGGTCGAATGGAGGAACAGGTGGGAATGAAGGGAATCAGACGTAGCAGTTGTTGGATTCATTCACTTGATTAGACACTCAGATCAAGGACGTTTGCATGAATGAAGTGTGACGATTTGCGTTCCATTATAGGTTTAGGGTCCGTCATTTGATTGCGTGATCAACTGCCTTGATTGTGATGTGGCAAACTGCATCTTTTTGAGATACCAAGTTTGCTACATTCAAACGTAAACATGTCTGATGGCCTGGACGCTAGTCTGAAACGCGAGACGGAGCTGAGAAAGATTGTGCTTGCTTGGCTCAACAAAAAGGGTTACAAGGAAGTTGAAGAGGCTTTCAAGAAAGAAGCCGAACTCAATGGAAATGAGCCGCTAGAAGAATTTGCCTTTCGAAGAGGTCTTGAGAACGACTTCTGTATCAGAAATTATATTTTGCAATGGGGAATGGAAGACACAAGGGCCTTGAGATATGAAGAATGCTATGTTGAATTGAGAGAATGGATCTTGAAGTTGTTGGAAGACTTGAAAAATGAACTGGCTGAGCTTCTTTATCCCTTGTTTGTACATTGCTACCTCGATTTGATGTCTAAGCAGTATACGGCAGAAGCAAGAGATTTGCTTGCGCATTGCAGACATGAGCATGAACCAGAACATGCCGAGGAAATCACATGTCTGGGTAACATACTGGATGGATCAACCTTGGATACCAATCCAATCGCAATCAAGTATATGCAGACTGCAAAGGCCAAGGTCTATCTGTGTCATGAATCAGATAAGCTGCTTACAGAATTTCTGCACAATCGCAGATTGAACATTCTTGTTAGACTGATTAATCAGTACATTGATATAATCATTTATGGTTCTACAGTCCATGATATCGCACCTCAAATGAGGTTGAAGCAATGCGAAGAGGCTGATTCCGCCATGATCGGAGTGAAGAGGAAGCCGTTGAGGTGGGCTGAAGTGGCCGAGGAGAGCATCGTTCGCAGAGAATCAAGACGAGCTCGAGCCGCCATGCAGGAATCTAGAAGCAACACTGGGGACGCCATGCAGGAATCTAGAAGCAACACTGGGGACGCCATGGAGCAAGATGAACAAGAGGATCCTTCAAAGAGTGAGGCCCAAGGTGTTGAAGAATTACCTCAGTTGAGCGATGAGATGGAAGCTCGGATTTTGTCGGACTTGAAGAAAAGGGTGAATGTCTCCAAAGGCGCACTGCCTTCAATCTGCTGCTACACACTATTCAATTGCCGTGACGCGCTCACTTGCATGAATATTTCACATGATGCTTCAATAGTCGCTGCTGGGATGTCAGACTCGCGGATCAAGGTATGGAGAGCGGGCACCACGACTGAGAGAGACGTGCAAGACAAGAGTGCAGCAGATGCGCTGCGCAATGGTAGTCCCCTTATGCAAGACTCCGTTCTTGTAGGACACTCGGGACCAATCTACTCCACGTCGATCAGTCCCGACAATCGCTACATCCTCTCGTGCTCGGAAGACAAATCAGTCCGGCTCTGGCAAGCGTCTTCGGGTCAAAACCTCGTCACATACAGGGGTCACAACTTTCCCGTTTGGGACGTCGCGTGGAGTCCTCTGGGACATTACTTCGCGACAGCATCACATGACAGGACCGCGCGCATTTGGAGCACTGACCACATCTACCCGTTGAGAATTCTTGCAGGTCACTTGTCGTCTGTCGATCACGTTGTCTTCCATCCCAACTGCAATTATGTAGCCACCGGCTCTGTCGACAAGACGTGCAGGCTATGGGACATCACGCATGGCGAGTGCGTTCGGCTCTTCAAGGGTCATCGATCGCCTATCTCCTGCTTGGCCATCTCCCCGTGCGGGAAGTTGCTGGCCTCTGGCTCAGACAGCGGTGAGCTTCTGGTCTGGGACATGGCGAGCAGCAAGTGCATTTTCGAGTTGCCTGGTCACGAAGGAGGCGTCCTGTCGGCAGAGTTTAGCTGTGGGGAAGGGAGCCTCCTCGCTTCTGGAGGTCAGGATTGTACAGTCCGCCTGTGGGACATGACGCAGGCGAATCAGTCCAAGGGTAAGGGTGCGAGTTTGAGAGCGACACTGACTTCCCTCCAGTAAAGTTGCCGGTGGAGAGCAGCGGAAGCGACGCCATGGCGAGGCAGATAAAGGTCAGGAGCACTGAATGGTTGATGCAACTGACAGAGGCATGAAGGTGTTGCATACGAGGTCGACGAGCATGATGACCGTCCGCTTCAGTCGGACGAACCTCCTGCTGGTCGGGGGTTCTTACACGCCAACGCCAGGCTGAGCAGTGGGGACTTTAGACATGTCTCCCCTACAAGGAGAAGTAGAACATAATGAATACACTTGCATCGCCTCACTGCTCAGCTTTTCCCTTCCAGTCTCTTGACCAGCGCGTTTACGTAGCGCACAGTGTTCACGTCGCTGTTAGAGGCGTTAGAGAGCTCAAGGAGTAGGAGGTGAACCTGGAGAAGCGAAGCTCTTGCAGCCGATCGCTGAGCTGCGACGCGCTGGATGGAAGTTAGACCTAGCCGCTTCCTCGCCTTCTACCTGTAGATGTATCCTCCGTTGCTGATCAGCTCCCTGCCCCACGCGTCCGCTGCCAAGCTGCGCAGCGCCCCTGCAGAGGATCAGCAGGAGCGAAGGCGACGACAGAAGGTAGAAGACGATGCAAGGAGTATGCGCGGCGAAGCAAGCAAGAGTGCGAAGAGAAGGAGAGGAAGAGGCCACCTGTTGTGAAGCGAAGGGTCTTGACGTACTTGATCTCATCGAACCACAAGAATCTCAAGAGCTGCTGAACCATTCCTCCCCTGCAAGCAGCTGGTCAGGCATGGTGAGACAAGTGAAAGCAACAACTGGGCCAGGATGAGCTTCCTCCCCGTCGAGTTGATCAGCAGGTTCCCAATGAGCATCAGAAGGTGGCTGGGGAGCGATCAGACGGCGGAGGAGCAGGCGGAGACTTACAAGTGGATGCTGCTGCCCTCGTCCGACGGGTTGCTTTCCTCGCTCAACATCTTGGAGATGATATGCAGAGCAGCATGCTGGGACTGCAGCTGCTGCACGATCGCTTCCCGCCCTGCAACGTCCGCTGCTATGAACGCCAAGTTTCTCACCACCTGCCTCGCAAAATTCGAGCGCGACCCTGCTCCCTCTCCGCACAGCACACGCACAAGCGCCTCCACGCTCGTAGGGGAAAGAACCTCACGCCCCTCCACCTCTCCGCTGCCAGCAGAAGAAGCATAACGCATGATGAGCTCCTCCACGGCCGTCAAGATCGTCTGAAGCTCCCGATCCCGCAACGGCTCGTCTGCTGCGAGCAGCGCGATCATGGTGCCGATAAGCGACTGCGAGCTCTGCTCTCCTCCAGCTGCTGATCCTGCAGGTAAGGATGCCATGCGACCGTTCGAGTCGCCAGCAGCTTCGCTCTCAGCATGGGGAGGACAGCTGGGAACGGCTTCAGCCTGTTGGCGCTCGTCAGCTGGATACAGAAAGAACAAGGACACCTCTTCCATGACCTGCTCGTGCGTCTGCTGTGCTCCTGAGGAGACGTGAGTTTTTGTCAAGTTCCTCTCGATGTCACCTAGGATCAGTGGCGAGTGCGGCGAGCTTGCTTCTCTTGTCTCGTGCTCGCTTCTCTTCGACGCGTCTAGAGCTGCTGCTGCCTGTCGGAGGACGGGAGACCCCGTGATGACATCACCGGGAGGGCGATGAAGCTGAGGAACAAGGAGAGAGGAGGCGCTGGGGAAAGGAGAGATCTCCATGTTGGCTGCAGGTTGCGGCTTCAGAGCTTGTTGCTCACCAAGAAGCAAACTGGCAGATGCCATCCTTCCAAATTGTCCCGACAAGCTCGCGGAGGATGGGAAGGGAGATATTTCTAGCATGTGTCCCTGGGGCTGGATGATAGGAGGAGGCATCGGGTACCTCAGCAACGCCTCCCGTCCATCGCTTCCGCCTCCAGTGGAACTTGCCAGCGAGCTAACGCTAGGCAAGAGATCTCCTCCGTCTCTTGCGCTCAAGTGATGAGGAAAGTTTCCCACAGAGGAGCCTGTAGAGGGGAAGGGAGAGGGAGCCACATCGTCGCCATCCCTGGCTGGCTGCAACTTCACTCCCTGCGGCAAGCCTCGCTGCCATGCGTTCGTCGGAAGCCCCTGGATGAGCGAGTCTGTGCTAGAGGGAGGAGCTGGATCCCCCGAGCCCACCTGCTTCTCTTCCTCTTGCTGCTCAGATTCTGTGCTCCAGACTGGATTGACAAGCCCGCGATTGGAGCCCATCCTCCATAGAGCTCGAGCCGACGAGGGAGGAGAAGAAGTCGAGTCAAGAGAAATAGGAAAGTCAAGCACAGGTTTGGCTTCTGGAAGGGAGCAGAGAAGTTGCCCATAAGACGAGGGGGGCGTGGAGGATCGCATCATTGTCTTCCCATAGTTGTCCTCACCCTGAACTTCGCCTTTACTTCTCTCGCGTGCCAGCCCTCCCAAATCGTTAATCTGCTCTGCTGGCTGCGGAGGGTCCGGCAGACAGTCTTGGCTGCTGTCATTGCTGGATGAGGAGTTGCTGACGGAAGGAGCCGTGTCGTCCTCGTTTGTCGGAGCATCCTCGTTGTTTGTGTAGGTGATCGTTCCTGCTGCTGTGACGTGCTCTTCACACTCCGAGACATCTTCCTCCCCTCCAACACCCTTCCACCAGCTCCCATTCTCTGCACAACCGCTATGACCGGCATGACCCAGCAGAGAGAATCTTGCCGAACCATTCGCCGACATCCCCTTGGGTTTCCAACGCTCTTGCTCAGTAGAAGGAGAGATTGAAAGCTTATTCACAGGCGCGCCAACCTTCAGTTCTGAGGACGAAGATTTGCTTCCATCCGAGCTTCCAGATGAAGACACATGCCCTGCAAAGCAGTCCTCCTCTTGTCTTTCTCGCGAGTTTGTCGATGCGCTGGGATTAGCCTGAGGGTCTTGTAGTGCTCGAGTCGTAAGGCTAGCAGCATGCCCTTGCTTGTCTCTCCCTGGTTCGTCCAGCCTTGACAGAAGTCGGTCTCCAGTGCCCACATCCCACGAGTACCCGCGTTTGTGCAGCCCCGGTCTGCTCATTATGCTCTCCTGCTCTCCTGCATCCTGGTAGGACCTGTGAAGCGATCGCTTTGGATCAGGGATGGGGGAGACCGGAGAGAAGCTATCTCTCTGTCCTTGCCGCGGCTCTTGAGGGTCGGACGCATTCGAGTTCTCGTCGTTTCTCCATGAGTCTGACAAGTTGAGTTGCCGATGAGCTTGTCTTGTCTGCTTGCTCAAGTCAGATCATTCGTCTACTCAATAAAGAAGCTGACATCCACCTGAAAGTTCTTCAAAGCAGACTCCAGTCTCTTCCTCCCGTCTTGGCGTCTCTTTCTCCCCTCCTGGCTCAATCTTTCTTCTGGGCTCCCCTGCTCTCGGAGCTGATCGGCTCTTTCAGCGAGCTGAGAATTGAAGGAATGAGGATGTAAGATCGAAGATGAATCAATGATGGACACGTTGTTCACTCGCTCTTTCTGAAGACTATCCAAGTGATCCCTCATCTTCCAACATGTCAACGACTCCAAGTACCTCACCCTCTTCTCACCTGCATGAGCTGCAAATTCGCAGAGTCTCTTTCGGCTTTCAGCTGGGACACCAACGCCTCTGCTGCCATTCTCTGCTGTCGTTCATCAGCTTCTGCTCGTTCAGCCCACCTGAATGACTAGATGAGAGTGCTCCAGATAGGAGAGTCCTCAACTCACCGCAGAGCTTCTCGTGCTCTCCTCAACTTTAGAGCAAGAGCCTCGGGGCTTGTGCGAGGGTTGCTCTTCAATTCTATCCACACAGACTCTTCTAGCACCATTCGCTCTTGTAGCTGGGAGATCCTCGCTTGCAATAGTGCTTCCCTCTGTGCGGAGAGGTCAAGCTGGTGCTGCAGTTGATCTCTCTGCTCTTTGAGCCCTTGCTCTATTGCTGCTGCGACTTGTTGAACCCGTCGGAGCTTGGACTTGGAGTCTTCATCCACCTCACCTGAAGCGTTGGAAGCGCCTGCCATCACAAACCGACTAGGAGTGGAGGGCAGCGACACATTGAGAATGGAGAAGTTTCTAGCGGATGGCCCGTTGGTTGCGTTGGGAGCAAACATGTACCTGTCAGCATCCCCTCCAAGCTTCAACCGCACACCCGGGCTGAGAAACTCGGGAATTTGATCCATCGGCTTGCTGCTGGTGGGATTCGTTTCGTCGTTGGAGGCAAAGATGCGGTCCCCGGCTCTGCGGAGGTATTGGAAGGCGCTCGGTTTCACATGCTCTGAGTCCTGGGGTCTTGAATTCATTGCGGCAGGGGGGG